AGTTTAAAGACCAACTCTATTTGACTCATTTTTTTCAAGTCAAGTCAAGTCAAATTTATTTTATAAAATCTTTCAATTTGATTTGATTAGAGTTATATAAATTTTAAACTTGACTCAATTTGACTCGACTCAATTTTAACTCAATTTGATTTTAACTTGAATTCATTCAAATTGAGTCAAGTTCAAATCAAATTATGAGTCAATTTTAAATTTTTATAAACATTTAATTAATAAAAAAAATAAAATAAAAAAATAATAAAAAAAATGAAAAGATCAGGGAGGAGGGGGAGCAAACGATTCGTTATCGTTCTTTTTGAACAATTTTTTTTATTGTTCAAGTTGAAAGATTCGTTATCGTTCTTCTTGAACAATTTTTTTTATCATTCAAGTCAACTTGAGTCAACTTGAGTCAACTCGAATCAAGTCGAGTTTAAATCAAGTCAAGTTAAATATTTAACTTGACTTGAATTTGACTTGACTCACAAATCATCGAGTCAAAAAAACATAAACTTGACTTAATTTAAACTCGACTCAGCTTATCTGACTTGTGAGTTAACTTGACTCGTCCAGAACTCTAATAGCAATATGTAAATTTGACTATGTATGATCATTTATATCTAAATACATATTTTTTCTATTATACTTATATTATATGTATTATTATTCATTGAAGTTATAAATTCAACTAACAGAAATTAAAATAGCATACCTAGCATAGAAAAATTTTTTAAGAAATATCAACTTGAGTGAAAAGAAATAAGAAAGCCAAATTCTGTAAATAGTACTCTAAGCTAGTATTGATCTAGGTCTTTGATCTGATTTGAATTTTATAATACGAGTTCCAATTTAATATATCATGTCAAATTAGGGTCATATCTTTATTTGATCTAGATGTCATCTGATTTAAATGATCACGTTTTGATCTCAAACTTTGTTTGTATAAAAACATCTATTTTGATGAATTATTAAATTTTTAGGTTCTGCAAGTTATGTGTCTGATAATTGTTCAAGCAAAACTATGTTAGAGGTTTTAGCTCAAATATTTAGTGTTTTAATTATTCATAAGTATTTTTAATAAAGAGATGAGTATATACAGTGGCGCTCAAAAGTATTGCATCACCTAAATACAAATTTTAAAATGGTATTTTCTTGTGATTGAGACAGCACAGTTTCATATAAATTATTTATTAGACTTATCATAATCAAATTTATTCAATATATGAAAATTGTTTTATAGTAATGAGATAAATTTTTAAAAAATATTTATTTTTGAATAATTAGACAATCCTTTTTTTTTGATCATTTTTTTATTAAATTTTTTAAGTATATAAAAAAAAATCAAAAATCTAACCAACTATTTTAAAACTTTAGTAAATAATTAATTACTATTTTGTATAGCCTCTATTAGCTCTAATTACATTATTTATACGAGTTGGCATAGTATCAACTATTTTTTTGCATACAACAGACTCCAAATCAATCCAAATTTTTTGAATTGCATCCTATAACTGATCCTATATTTTAACAGGTATTCCAAGTCATCTCAGATGATAATTCATTTTATTCTAAAGGTGTTTTATAGGATTTAGATCAGGGGATTATGCTGGTCAATCAAGAACTTTAACCTTATGTTTTTCAAACCATTGCTTTGTAAGATGTGCAGTGTGTTTAGGATCATTATCCTGTTGAAAAATAATATTTTCCTTATCCATTCTATGCTATGTGATAGTTTTCAATAGGTCTTTCTTTAAAATTTAGTAATATAAATCACCATTCATATATCCATAAATTTGGCATATGTTATCAATCCCATCAGATGTAAAACATCCCTATACCATAATATTATCCTATCTAAATTTGACTGTTGGTTTAACAAGATGATCGCATAATATTTCTTCTGGCTTTTTCTAATAATACTTTCTACCATCTGATCCATAAATTATAAATTTTGACTTATCTGACTAAACCACTTTACTCCAATCTTCAACTGTCCATAACTTGTATTTTTTTGCAAATTTCATTCTTGCAATTCTGTGTTTTTCAAAGATATAGTTTTTTATACTTAACCCTTGCATTCAATCCATTTCTATATAAGGTTCTCTTTACTGTACTTTCACTAACTTTAATTTGTTCTTCTATTTTTAATTTTTTGAATTGCAACAGCATTGCTATATTCATCTGTTGTAATTAATCTCAAAATTTTTCATTTATATCGACCAGTTAAAAGTCACAGACACTCAGATTTAGATTGGTCTTTATTGTTACCAGTTTTACAGTATCTTTATGTTGCTTGGTTCTTATAACAGTTGATTGAGAAATATTTTCCTTGTCTGCTATATAGCGGGAGAGAAAATCTTCATTAAATAAGGCACAAATCTTAGCTCTTTTTTTAATATAAAGATAAACTATAGATATTTTATAAAATTACAAAAAGGCGAAAAACATAAGGCATCTTTTTTATATGTGTCACATAGTTGTTTTGAAGCAAAAAAAATTGTGTATTAAGTGTTAATATTTATTTCTTAAATTGATCAAAAGAAATGCATCACTACTTTGGCGAAAGATTCATAACAAAAAAAAAAATATTCTTAAAATAAAAGATGAAAGAGATTGATAAAGATTAAGGTATGAAAACTCTATATTTAAGCTTTGTAATACTGTGCCTTTTAAATTACAAGATATTTCCATTTTAAATTTTGTATTCAAGTGATGCAATACTTATTTTTGATTGCTACTATACACTCCCTGGTCAAAAGTATTGGACTACTTTAAAATTATTGCAATTTTTAAATTTTATAGCTAACTTTAATTTTTTAATTATAAAAAATTTTAATAAGTAATTTTACATAAAAATTTTTTTATTTTATTCATAAAAACATACTTTTTATAAAAATAATTAGTATTTAGTTGGATAACCATTGCTATCTACTACAGCTTAAACCTTTCTCGACACACTTCATACTAAATTTTCTAAAATGTCTTTCTATTTCATTCCATTATTTCCTTAAAAACAACCAATAATTCTCCAAGAATTTTTTGATATAGTTATGTTTACAAACCTTTATATTCAAAACATTCTATAGATATTCAATTGTATTTAAGTCAGGAGGTTATGCAGACCATAAAATATTTGAGATTGAATTACCATATTTTCTATATATTGCTTAATTGCTTTGCCCAATGAACAGATGCATTTTGTCTTAAAAAATATATTCTAACTCAGTTCTCAACTTATCAGTAAAGGCAAAAGATTATTTTTTTAAACCTACAATTTACCAGAAACTTGAATTAAAACTCCAATATTATTTTTCATAAAATACCTCTATATTATTATGTCTTATTTTCCTGAATTTACAGTGAAAATTAAATAATTTATATCATAATTTTCATGAAGATAACACCAAATTTAATAATGAGCATCATTTTGAAACAATAAAAAATGAGATAGAATGGACAAGAATATCTATAATATTTCGTTTGCTGTAGACACCTTTTCAGAGGCTAATTTTTTCACCTTGTTCAAATTCAATAAGTTCTTAGATTTTTAGCACTAAAAAATATATTTATATTCAAATATTAAAGCTTTTAACTATGTAGGAAAAAAAATTTGGTTCATTTTTATGCATTTTATCAAAAGTTATGATCGATAGAATTACATCAATTTGAGTATCGAAAATCACGTGGTCCAATACTTTTGACCGGGGAGTGTACATGGTTACACTTATATTACTTAGGAGAATTATTCCCAAAGTGTATGGTACGGTGATCAGGGGTCCTGGTAAAAATTTAAAATTTATAGTAATTTGTGTAACATGCTAATTTTGGGATGTCTAAAGCGGAGTTAATCACGTGATATATGTAAATTATATGTCACGCCCACCACTTTTTAGTTTTTATTAAGTATTCTGGGAACAGAGAATTTTTTTCGGTGGCAAAATCCTATTTGTCAGGCACCTTTGTTCGTCACATAATTAATTTCTCAATGCCATAATTCCGGCCAAAACAACTCCGCTTTAGACGGGCCCCAAAAAAAGGCTCCAAAAAACATTAAGCAATAATCATTACCGTTCTATGTGACCAGACCGACATTTAAGTTCTTAATGATCGAATTGGAAAATTATTAAGTTCATTAAATTTATTGGAAAAAGTTTGACCTTCTCTAACTACCACGATATTAATACAATTATAGCAAATTATTTTTTTCATATTTTATATTTTTATTTTTTGGTAAATTCGTATGAGAGATTTTTTTATTTCGTCGATGTCATATTATAATTAAAAGGAAAAATAAGCAAGATAAATAAAAGATATCTATAGTTCGTGTACTCCACCTACAATCACATATTGTAACGTTGTTCTTTCGCCTTATTAAATTATAATTTGTTCCATAATAAGACTTTGCATATCAGAATGTAATACAAATTTTAAAGAATCCAATTAAAAGAGGATGAGTAAATCCATTTTTCGGTTCAGTCACCTCGTATTATTTTGTAAGTATTAAAAAATGTATTTAATGAAATATTTTCCTAATCTAGAGTAAATTTTACCGTTAACAGCAGATATTTCAATTCAATTTTTTATTTGCCAATTTAGGAATAATTGTGAAATACTATTTATAAACTTTTCCATTTAAGTAAGAGAACAAATGCATGTTTGTAAGTTAATGGAACATATGGTTTAAACCAAACAATAAACCATGAACTTAAAATTCATATTTTTCTCGTTTATTGCATGATAATCTTCCACCGAATATTCTTTTCATTTATTTTGTCGGATTCAGTTCTTTGTTTCAATTGGTCAAAACGTGAGATGATGTTGTGATCAGTCATCAAAATTTATATTATGCATGACTGACAATCAACTAATTTAAAAATTTAATATTTAACCGGAAACTTTTTATTTATGTTTGTCTGTGTAACAAACGGTCCGCTTATTTTTTTTATAAATATTATCAGTAGAATACTGTCTAACGCTCAAGTTCAGAAAATAATTTAAACAATATGGAAGTTGACCAATCCTCCACTCTCGCCTCGACTGATAAGGTCAAAGGCCCAGAAATAATTATGCCAGTTGTGACCCAAGTATCCCTTGATAAAGACCAGGCTTACGACGCTCTTAAATTACTTGGTGATCCAAAAAGAATAAACTCACAAAACTTTGATGATAAACCCGTTATTACCAAATCAAAAAGAGGAAGAAAAGCTCTTGCTGTAAGCGAAGGACATATAGACACAACTGGAAGGACTCATATCATGACTATTGGAAGGTCAAAACCTCCGACACCGAAAAAGAAGGATCCAAAGGCTCCAAAAGCCATTAAGCAAAGCAATAATTATTGCAGACGATGCGAGCAAAATGATGAATATAACCACGTGCTTAATGATCGAATTGGCAAATTAGAAAGTTTGGTAAATAAGTTGACTAACGCAACAAAATACAATAATAATACGCAAAAAAATCCTCAAACGCTGTCTAATATTGGAACGGTAGAACTTTTTAATCTATCTAATCAAATAAGTATCGAGCTATTTGAAAGAATTGAAATGCAAAATCAAATACAATTAAAATCTCAATTGAAAACCACTTTAGCACCGAATATCGACACTTTTAATGATCGAATTGGAAAATTAGAAAATATAATAAATAAGTATACTCATACAACAATTCCTCAATCGTTATTTTATACTGGGACGGAAGATCCTTTTGAGATGCAAAGTCAAATACAAGATCTGATGGAACCTCCGGCAACAACATCAACGCCATATATCGGTATAACTAATGAACCAATCGGACATTTAGAAAGTTTACTTAATAAACCGAAACTTCCTCAACCCTATATTGGAACAGAAAAACCTTTTGAGATGCAAATTCAATTGCATTCCCAAATGGCATCTCCGTCATCTACATTAACTCCCTCGTATGAACCAGTAGATTTCGCAAATTGGTCCATTTACCAACAATACGAATAATTAAGACAAATAACAAAATCATGTTTTTTATACTTCATGAATAATTTGTCATTCTACATTTCATAATTCGAAAATGTTTAACAGAATCGATACAATGTTCGATAAACCATGATAGACGATTTTTTTATAATATGATTTTCTTCATACTTTTTCATTACTAATTCCGTTTTTTTTTCGTTATTTTTTTTTTTATGTTTTTAAGTAATTTATTCATTCTAAACCTATAAATATGACTTTACATATGTGAAAATTTTAAGATTATGCTAAAATATAAAATAATAAAGTGTGGCAAATATATATATAAAAAAATGAAAATGAAAATTGTTATTATACTTAATTTATTCAGAGCGAAGCTCAAAAATATTTTGCCAATCACATTGCTTTTGAGAAGATCAACGTTACTGGAACTTCAGCCTGTAATATTAATATTAGAAGATAATGAAAATTACATGGATAATTTGATGACCAGCATAAAACAAATTGATATGAAAGATATAAATTCGATTGTAAGCTCACGTGTAATAGTTATCAACTGATCAATGCGACTACCTAAAAAGTTAAGTGTCAACGAAAGAAAGTCATTCCTTCAATTAACGTTAGAACTTCCTGAAAAACGTATACCTTACAGACCTTAAGTTTTATGTTGTAAATTTTTTTAAAGTTTCTGTAAAGCAATTTTGCTTTACGAATAAAATCAAAAATTACTATATTAACAATGAAGTTTTCGATCATTATTTCATAAGTGAAAACAATTATGTCATTATAAAAATATTTAAAAGATTAATAATTGTTTCTCTACAAAGCATATTTCCTTGGAATTAAATTTAATAGGAATAAATTTTCGCAATAAACAATTGTTAAAACCTTTGTATGTTGCTTAAAATTATTTATGTTTAGTTAAATTAATACTGACAAACTACATAAAATACCTTACGAAATAGATGTCATAGCACGAGTGCTCCCATTAACTATTTATCTTGAAATGTCGTTTTCTCATCTTTTTTTTTAATATATAACTGATAATGTATATACAGTATATATGTGCGCTTTGCGAGGAAACTACCAAAATAAAATTTTTACTTTACACTTTAAGCCAAATAAGATTTTTTTTTTATTAAAATGATTCAAAAAAAAAAAAAATTTTGAAGCTTTTGTACTTCACCTACACATTATTTCTTAAGAATTTCAAATTCTTATAAAACATGGAAATTGTTTTTTTATTATTTCGTTATATTATATTTTATAAATTATTGGATACTGTATAATTTAACATATGCAGTAATAAAAAAAAAAAATTTCGGTCCATGTATTTTTTTTTTTTGACCACAACACTAATTTGTAAAATAAATGACAACTTTCAATATTTGGACGTTTAATCTATATTTCTCTATATGGTAATAACTGTATTTTATTTTACCTTTTCCGGTAAATTTTAACTTGTGTAACATCTATTCAATTTTTTTATTTTCCAATTTAGGAATATTTCCTATAAAAAGTTTTTTATACTTACGCTCTGGTGGAAATGAGTCCGATTTTTTTTTTTAAGTTACAACCTATCAGAAATTCTCAATTCATTTATATTTTTCGAAAAACTAATGTAATTAATGTATAAAAGTGTAGATTATTTTTGAAGCAGATTATAATATATTCCCCCCAATTTTTCGCAATAAAAAAAAACATTTCTTGCTTATTATCTCAACTTTATGTGCTCAATATAATACAAAAATAATACAAAAAATTTGAATTTATAAAGAAAAAGGACATCTAAATATATTAAAAAAATTGTAACGTAGTAGATAATAAACAGCTAATAATGTCTATTTCATATAATACTCCTGATGATAACGGTTCGTCAAATGTTGACACCATACAAGACACATCAGCTTTTAATGAGCGTGCCTTCGTACCTCATGAAACTGTATTCTATTACAGGCCAAACAACGATTTTCAAATTTACCTCGTCTGTTGTAAGGAAATAACTTTGAATGAACTTATATCTCAATTATTAAATAATTATCTCTACTTAAACTATAATTATCTTTATTCGAATAATCTTTTCGTATTTTATTTTCAACATCCACATGATCAAAGAATTTATCATGTGGCTTGTGAAATGATATCACATTCGAAAATAGTTCAGCATTTAAACTTACACATCTATGGCATCGAGTTGTTGCAAAATGAACAACAACCACCTTTGGAATTTTCTAACAACCATAAACAAAACCTTGAGTTTCACTTAAGACAATTCCTTATTGATTATTTAATACCCCATGAAAATTTAAATGATAATTCTATTGTTGATGATACATACACTACACAATAATCACATCTTCTACTATCAATTTAATGGTTGCTTTTTATTTAGGAGTTTGAATTTTTTTTTTTTAGTTTATTTATGTATTTCAATTAGGTTTAAACGTTAAACATAAATATATTGTAATTTAGAAAAATATTATTGTAAATTGGGAAAATTTATAAATCACTTGAAATCCCGTTATGAAAACTGAATCTCGAATAATTTTGACAAAAACGTTCAATTACAGGGCTCAAGTTTGAAATACTACAGTTTAATATCAATTTGATTAAAATTTAAAATCTTAAAATTTATTTTTTATAATTGTATTCTTTAATTTTTAATACTCTTCGAACATTATCTAGAATTAAAAGGTCCTCCGAGCATAAATAATTGTCAACATATGCCGTCTCCAAAATATTTAGCCGACATAGGCCCATTAAAGGAGCTATTTTAATAAACTTTTATTTAATGTATGCTTTAAAGTAATAAGGTCATGCAACTTCGATATTTCGGTTCACGCAAAATTGAAATTTTAAAATCGACCTGGAGACCCGGAGTTTATTAATGATTATTTTTTATTAATAAAAAAGTTTATATATAAATATTATGCTATCTTATTGGTCAATCTTTAAGAGGAACAAGTGAAATTTTTATCATGTGACCTTACATAATGTCAGATTTTGTGCGGCGAAAGAAAGATTTACCTTTATTTGTGTGATATAGAATATAACAATACATATAAAAAACTTACATATGAAAAAGAAAAAAAAATAACCGGGTGACCGTATCAATTTTAAATTTTATCTAAAAATTTAAAAATTTTCTATTACAATTCTAAGATTGAGAAGGTTTACCTGTTGAGAAAGAAACAAAAATAAAAGATTTTTTTGGAATCTATATTTATCAACTGACTGATTGGAAGCAGATTTTGAAGTGAAGTTTAGCCCATCAAAAACATTAGTTGAAGAAAAAAATTTCAGCACAATGTGGGAAGCTGCATGAAACTAATGAGTTGTAAAAAAGGAATTATAAATAAAATTACACTTTATAGTCACATGATAAACTTTTTATATATAAACTTTTTTTTGTTAAAATTTGAAAAAGTGACACGGCCGGGTGACATAAACCGAAATATCGTAGTTTCATGGCCTAAGGTAATTTCAATAATATGGTCAAATTTAAACAGAAAAAATTCCTAAGAAATTTGTTCATATGATAAAGAATACTTGTAAATTAATTTTTCTTGAATGGTGAAATTGCAAATCACGTGGTGAATTCAATTATCACGTGATGCGAAAATCAATGGATTATCTTATTGAAAAAAAACCTTTCAATCCTGAACTATATAAGTTATAAGTCGAAAATTATGATTTCAAAAATAGCTTTGCCGTATATGTAATATAATAGGAAAATTAATAAGAACGATTTAACAAATTGGTTATCAATTTTTTATTGTATGTTATGCATGTGTACTTTTATGAGTAAACAAATATTAGATCATTTAAATTTATATTAGGAACTGAGTTCGAATGTAATTGATATATGACTTATAATTGTTTACGTAATAATGCAAATAAATTTTTTTCTTTATTTCAATGTATAAACCATAGATAGAAACAACATACGTCACTTTATGCGATTACGCCAATCTGAAATGGTAATAAGACATTTCCGGAGTGGTTATGACGCAGCGAGATCGTCCAAATAAAATAGATCACATTTTTATGCATTAATTCACAATGCATGTAACAATTTTTTACTTTATCATTATGTACATTCAGGAAATATGGAATTCATTTATCTTAAAACGTAATTAATTACAATTAATTTAGTTTTGATTCTTTTTATTTGAAAGATAATGATATTTTTGCGTGATGCAGGTCTAAATGCGATTATCGATAGAAGTTTGTCAGAAATGAATAATCCTGACAGTGAAATAATTTATTTCGAATAATCTTGCTTTAACAATTTTTTTTTTGTAAATAAAATTATACTATACTCAATATAAAATAAAGTTTTTAATCTATTTTCTTTTTTCATTCAAATTATTAAGCGGAACCAGACAAAACCTGATTTTTAAAATGTTCTTCAGCTTTTATTTACGAAAAAGGGCTTTTTCTACAATAATTGTCTGATACCTGATTGTGTTTTATTTCCAATTTTGTCGATCAATTTCTTGGAGTGTAAACATACATATTTATTGCTTTTTTTTATACTTGAAAAATCCTGATTGTATAAGGTTTCAACCCCATATTTAATATAAGATTCATTCAATGATCGACCCATTAAAAGCAATAATTACACTTCAAAATTTGAAACACTCCCTGCAGCGTAAGCTACATTTAAAGTTGAAAATGGTTTAATAGATGACTAATATTCAATGATCGACTCATTAAAAGCAATAATTACACTTCAAAATTCGAAACACTCCCTGCAGTGTGTAAGTTACATTTAAAGTTTGAAAATGGTTTGAATATATGATTTTTTGATTAATAGATGACTAATATGGTTAGAACACTTGTAACACAGACTTGTTCAAAAACTATCGGATGATTTCTGCATCTTAATTGAAATGTATGCAACAAGTATGTCATTGTTAAATTTTATTCTCTTTCAATTTTCAATTAAAATTTCCATTATAATAAAAAGAAAACTTTATTTATTAATTACCGCATCGGGTAAAATCTTAGGTTTTGATTTTGCGCGATTGTTTGTAACATACCCGAGAATGCTCCGAGTCATCTATTAATAATTAAATGTAAAAAAATTTTTATTTTTATTTCATACATAATAAATGTAAAATAAGCTAAATTTTGAATTGCGCGAAATAGTTTAAATTCCTAACCTTAACATCTGAACGTTTGCAACTTCCAGTGCTCTTTCTTATAAAGAACTCAAAACAAGAGAATTTGATGTTGACTTCACAAGATGGCAACGGCTTGTCAAATCTTAATACTATACAAAACACCTTCATCTTCTAATGGAAGTTTTTTCGTACCTCAAGAAATTGTATTCTAGCAGAATTTTATCAATTGTAAAGAAATTACCTTCAATCTCAATTCTTAAATAATTTTTTGACTCGACTTATAATTATCAAAATAATCTTTTCGTATTTTATTTTCAACATCCTGTCGATCAAAAGATTTATCGGGTGGCTTCTGAAATGACTCTACATTCAGACATCGTTCAAGATTTAAATAAAATCAATATCTATGGCATTGAAATAAAGCAAAACGAATAGTAACAGCACAGGGACGATGATTTTTTGTGGTGATAAAAAGTAAATTTTATAAATTAAATTCTGTGAAATTTGTTATTTGACCGGAATCAAGCAAGGTTGGCCAACATTACGATTCGTAAATTCTGGCCAAAATTTAGTGTCTGCCGGAATTACAATGATTGCAAATCCTAAATTAGGAAAATTATGATTTTCTGTGATCACAAAAAATCATCGTCCCTGCTAACAAACATAAGCAAATCCTTGAGTTTCACTTGAATTTGAAAATCGGTATTAATAATGTAAATTATTAATGTAATACGATTCGGCGGATAATAACAATCATCTGGTTTGCCTCAAAATATTAATTTAATTTAAATTATTGTTTAATAATTGGTGGCAGATAATTTATTTATTTTCTTTCTTTCGATAAAGAAAATTTTTTTATTAATTAAAAATTTTGGTTTGCCACATGTTTGCCTGAAAATATAAAGTCTTAGCCAATTGATAATAGTATACAATTTTTTTTTGATTTACTGCGCACCCTTCAACTTTTTAGAAATCGAAATTTTGAATCACGTGAAACGATTAACCAACAAAAATATAACTGGTGAACGACGAGGAGTTTAACAAAAATAAAAACGAAATAAAAAAAAACGAAAAATAAAAGAAAAAAAAGAAAAGAAACTAACGAAACGAAAAAAAACGAAAAAAAAAAAAAAACGAAATAATTTTATCTAATACTATCAAAGACTAAGACTCAATATAAAAAAATCTCGATATTTTAAACATTCCCAAAACCCGATATTCCTAGCAATCTTCCCTTATAATAAATAAAAAGCTGACCGACCATGATCCGACCCTAATAAAAATATCCCTAAACTCATCCCTAAACTGTCCTGTCCCTAACCCAACTCGATATATATATAGATTACTTAATAAAAGGACGATCCATTAAGAATTTGGTTGGAAAACTCGGCAAATGGATTATCATCATCAATAATTTGCGGAGGAAGGTTTACAAGGTTTACAACCATGTTGTTCCATGCGGCTCTACCGCGTCTTTGGCGATTTCCTTGGCGAATTACTCTATTTATTCCATTCACGTGTCGTTGTCTACGTTGAGCTCGACGCCTTTGATACATTTTGTGTATTTTTTCCTAATTTAGATTTTTTTATAACTATGTTTGAAATTAAGAATATAGTGGGAATGACTTAATTTTCTGATTTTAATTGATATCATATACGTTTTCAGAAATTTAATTTAAATTAATTAATTTTATTTAAATTAAATTTTATTTTTTTATTTTTTAATTTTTAATTTTTTATTTTATTGGAATAATGTCCAGAAAGTAAAATTTTCAATCTTATTTATAAATAATTTTGAATAACAATATATAAAAAAAAATTTTTTTTTTTTTATTTATATTCATCTTTTTATTTCTTGTAATAATGTTCTTAGTATTTTCATTTAATTGAACTATATACATATATGCCGCTCATAACCGAAGATAAACTTTAAAATACAAAAAAAATTTATTATACATATGACGAGTAAATATTAATTAACCTTAAAATGTCCCTTTCTCTCTGTATGCCGCGTCAGTTTGCATAGGAGATAAGATTCCGTTTTTTAAAAGTCCAATTCGTGCACCTACCAATTGAGCGAAAAACGCCTTTCGCTTTTTTTTTTTTTTTTTTTTTTACGATAATCAAATCGGAAGAACCATTTATCCCAAGAACAATTTTTCAGCGTTTACAAAGATACTTTAGATCCATATATTGTTATACGAGCAATCGTTTCGCGAAAAAAAAAAAAATAGAATTTTATTCTTTAAACAATTAAACAAATTTTTGAAACAATGGTTATAATCAAAATGCAGCATATTATTACAAAGTCGATTTTTTAAATAAACCAGGAACGAGCATAATTTATATATATATAAAAACCTTCGTTAGAATGAAAGCAATTACGATTTTGCACATCAATGCTATAACGGTAACAAATTTTGGCAAATCGAATTTTCTGCACATGATTCATTTTTTTTTTTTTTTTTTTTTTTTGGAAATTACATTTTATTTATTTGAGAATGATATCATTTAAATTCTTTCTTTTTTGTCTAATTAGCAAAGGAATGTACTTAATTTGAATTATAAAAAAAAAAAAAAAAATCTATCTTGAAACCAATTTTTCCGCTATAAATTATCTTTGCTTTTAATATAGCGAGAACTTTAGCCAAAATAGTATTTCCAATTTTGTAACTCATTTTTTGTCGTAATTGATTCTTTTCAGTGAGCAAAGTCGAACGGTGGGGTGAAGCCAAAATAGTTGTATTCTAAAAATTTGAACGAAACGATAGGACAGGGTGCATTTCTACCTAATGCAAAAATATAGAGATTTAGTAATATATGGTATAGGATCATTATGTAGGAACTGCCCTCATTATCTTTAAATCTTGTAACTCATGAAAATCATTGCATTTTCCATAAGTTGACCAAAATCAGGGCGAATAAAAAATTGCTATCTATATGCATATTTCCATAAATTGACTAAAATGAGGTGAAAAAGAAATGCCTTCGCTATAAAATAAGTTTTCTATTATTTTTGAAACCATCCTTTGGGGACATTCTTTCGGATTTTGTTGTTGGTATTTGGGTGGAAATGCGATGCGATGTAAGTAAAACATTTTGACTGGAAAGAACTTTTAAAATGAACAAATAACCCTCTATATTTTTGAGAATTAATGGATTGAAGTTTTCGCCCAAGTCCAAAGATGGCAGGAAGTTTACCAAATGTGCTACCTTTTTTTTTTATTTATATTTTTTATCATTTTTATTTTTTATTTTTTAATAACCTTTGTATATCTTTCTATTTCGAGTAAATATTCATGTAAACAAACCAATATTGTTCAACAGAATGTTTCCAAGGAGTATCCAAACATGAGAGGTGCGTCAATAATATTTGAAATGTCCAACTTTTAATAAAGCGAATTTATGCAGAGACTGTGGGACGAGCCCTTTTATCACTATATCTTTGACTATAAGGTCGATTGTCGATAATCTTTCCAAAAATTGACTAAAATAAGAATATGCATAAGCCATCCTGCGGGAATGAAATTTTCAAACATCCCCAAGAAAATGATATATCACGTGAGGTCTGGCGTAAAAGTATTTAAACTTTTCTTGGCCATATTGACACCTAACCTAGTTATCGCATAAACTTTTTTATTCTTACCAGGATCTTTGGTAATATCGGGTTCTTGATCTATCTACAACATTGCCTTTCCATCGTATCCTCGATACGTTGATGTCATTATCGATATGTGACATGAACTTTTAAAGTGTGCTGGGCTGGTAAAATCTTGAATTCTGGCTAAAGCACCGAAAATTCAGTCATTTTATGTAAAAATAAATTTTTTTGATTTTTCAAATAAAAAAAAAAATAATTTTTATTGGGGACTCCCCTTTTATGTTTGATAGTATCTTTCATAACTTACTCAATTTGTTTGGTTTATAATTGTGTAACATCATTTGGAACTATATGACGATCAAGTATATTGTAACCGGAGTTCAAAATTTTTTTTTTTATTTTACCTAAAGTAATTTTTAATCATTCACTTGAAAGAAATTATATAAAAATTTTTTATTTATGTATCGGAAGAAATTCCGTAAATTGTCATAAGAAGGTTGGTCACACGTCATATGAATAAAGATATTTGACAATCAAGAAAATCCCATGACATAGAAAAGTATTGCATAATTACAAAATCTAAAAATAAATGGTCATGTATTTGCTTTATCATCACAAAAGATACACAAACCCGATGGCGGCAACGCCCGAACCTTTCAAAATTTGATATATTTGAGAAAGACCAAAATGATTTTCACAATTTTTTTTTTTTTTTTTTTTTTTTTTTGTGCTCAATAGTTAATTAATAATAAGCTTATCTATTTGAAACATCTCCGAAATTGTAAAGTTTATTCCTTATGGTTCACTGAACGGTTCATCTTTTTTATTTGTATCACCAAAATGAAGCAATAATATAAAAATAAAAAAAAAATTATTTTCGTTTCACAATAAGACCTGACCAATCAAATCATTTCACAGGCCTCTGAAATTTTGTCCACAATAACACGTGACATTACAATACGATACGTTAATGCCATCAATATACGCATTTTATACTTTTTCATTTTATATTTATCGTGACTAATTTTAACTTTTAATTTTTTCTTTGTATATTTGAGTGATGAATATTATAAATTAATTACAATAAATTTATAATTAACGTTATGATTCTTTGTAATTCTGAATTAACTTGTCCAAGTTTAGATAAGTTAATCATCAATTTCGTTATTTTTAGAAGTTGGTTTCACTTCAAAGGTGGAAGAATTTCCAAAGATTGTCGTGCACTTTGAACTTAAAATCCAGATAACTTAATTTCATAAAAAAAAAATAATCGTCTTCGTGTGATATCTTTTCTTTCCCATTAAAATATTATTAAACATGAAGTTATTATGGTAATGTACAAATATAAGGATTGATGAATAAAATTTCTGGAAGGAATACAAAAATAACTATTCCTCAACACTCCGGGAACATGGCGTCCAATCGATAAAATAGGTTGATTTGATTATAACTTGCGAACACACACAGTTATATTGACGTTTAATTTTGCTTTACATGATTTTGTTAATTTATAAATATTTGTCTTCCGATAAAAGACCCAAATTATGATACATTTTCTAAAAAAAAAAAATAAAATAAAAAAGAAGTGAGAAAAAGTCATTAACAAAAGCTGTATAATAGAAATAATTGATACATAACAAAATAATAAATAGAAATTATAAACTTTTTAGCAATTTTCTCTATAACTTAGCAAACAGGATAATTACCTTTTTTAGAGGTAATAGAACTTCAATTGTGACTAATTTAAGAACAATGGTTTGATGATATTCGACGAACAAACAAATCAACGCCACACGTTGTTGTTTCAATCAACCTTAACTTTTGTTTTTCATGCACTGCCAAATTACATTGATTTTTCCGTAATCATACATGTATGAGTACTAGTTATTTTGAGGGGTAATGGAAAAGAAAATCTTGTAACAACGTGTGAATATAAATAAATGAATAAATGCATTTGGAACAATTAAAAATTGTTTGCATGATCGAATGTAGAAATGATTGAACTAGTAACATAAAAAAAAATGGTTTTTAAAATGGTTTAATATAATATTTTCCCGTTGTTTACATTCCAAGTTTCTTCCGATAAAAACCCTGAATTATACTGCAACAAGCTTTTGTTTTTTCTTCTTATAACAAATTCTCAACACTTATCTTTTAAGTTATGTTTCTGAAAGTTCAATTCTCGTTGAATATAAAAAAAATCTTTGCGATAAGACCATATGATAAGGCTGTAATGCTAATGATAATGTAACGAAAAAAAAAAAAGATAAGGATCATTTGATTTGTTGCAAACCTGGGATGATCTATCTTTTTTTTGGACCAAGTCGTGTGACATAATATTTATTCCAATAAAAAACGCTTATATATAGTTATTGAAGGGGCTGAAGTTGGAAGTCATATGGCAACGATGCTAACATGTGACATTGTGACATTGATAAGCGTTTACCAAAAATAAACGTTCCACTGCATGTATGGAAGATATTTAACATAAACATTCAGATACTATTTCATTCTTCAAATGATTATGTCAAATGATTTTTTTTTTTTTTTTCAAAAAAATTGTCCCCGTTAACCAACCAAATTTTAATCACAATCCTACTGATTCACAAAAGTCAAATTATTTCGGATTCTTATAGTAACACAAATGTGTGAATATGGTAAAATCATATTAAAAGTAGTGGTCTCGATTTCATATGACTGAAATTTGGATATTAATATTTTTAATACCGAGTCATATGATTGATATTTTAAGAAGTTTCCGGTTATATTTTTATGCTTTCCGAAAAAAATCTAACGGCATTACTAAAAACCGGTTCTTTATGGCCTTTTGTGAAAAATCAGCTGGCTTCTGGTGACCCATTCTATAAATATATCTTTTATGATGATATCGTGAAGTTGCGTAGCTTATTATTGTGTTACAAATGTGATTGGATTTTTAAGATATAAATACGAGTTGAGAAATTCAAAAATTCCTTGATAATTAATTATAACAAAAAATGAATTCAAACGGACCCTTACACAATTATTCTCTCATAATTGATGACGGTGTGATAAATAGGACTCTACCTACGAGTGATATTAATCAAAGAAGAAGACTAAATCGAGATAGAGGACGACGAAATGTAAATAGATTATTTCAAAGACGCGTTCAAGTCATCGATAATAAAGATACTTTAAATCGAATCACAAACCTACCTACTCAAACTGCAAATGATTTATTGATAACCGAATTTTTCAATGGATCGTTCATTTAAAGTAGCTCTTTAAACAGGTAAGAATCATTTTTTCTTTATATGCGTTTTATTTATTATAGATATCTATGCGAAATTAATTCATGAACTTTATTTTCGATTAGTGTCATTTATTGATTATTATCCCGTATTACGTAAATTTATTGTTTTGATTCATATTTCAATTATGATGTAGATTATCTGAGAACGTGATAATTAACGGACGGAGATTAAAATTCACCGTTAAAACCGTTTAAAAAAATTACATGTAAATATAATACTAAATAAACTCCATTTATCTTTTTTTTAATAATGAAAAACAACCTAGCGGTAATAAAGCAATTTTCAAATAACGAATTTGATAATAAATTATAATTTTTTCTCTTATTGGATAAGTCACGTAAATTTATTTTGACGAATTCGAATTTATTAAAATCTCAAATAATTCACCGCTGTTAAACAAGTATATGTCGCTGATTTTCTAAACCGGTATCAATTTCCTTTCAGATAACGAGCTGCCTTCATGAAGAGCACAATAAATAAAGTAAATGACGCGTAATACGATCAATCACGTGATAAGTTTATTTTATAATAACCTCGTGATTTACAGTATTATTGATATTATTCACGAATAATTTAAGATTACTTGAAACAAATTTTTGCTTGTTCGATATGAAATCAATTGAATAATGAAATTTTACCCTAGAACAAGTTAGCTATCATGTGGAAAATCTGCAGCGATTTCATATTATTAATGAAAATATTTTAATTCTATCAAATCATTCTATTCTAAGATTATGTGAATAAACATAGAATTTAATTTTTAATATCTACTTTAGATTAATTACATTTATTCAATTTATTAGGAGAATGAAGATAAAAAAATCATGGGTTCGGCAAAATGTGTAGATCATGCCTATTTTATAAAATGATTTCTTAATTCAACAAACGACTTCTAATTTTGACAATTCATTTGAGACCAGAAAACGTTACATTAGGTACAAATAAAGAATTCATTCATCACATAATTAATAATTTGCAAATGAAATCTAAAAATTAATGCATTGCTTACCGCAGTGTTGGCAGTCGGCCACGGCCAAGAGATTTTTGGTCATTTTGCTGTGGCCAATGGCCAAAATGGCCAAACGGCCAAATTTTGGCCAAATAACGAGGTACTATAAATGTATTAATATTTATTAGGATTTTATTGGCATAGCCAAAAATTTTTTTGATCAATTAGCCGGCCAAATTGGCCAAACGTCCAATGGCCAAAGACCAACACTGGCTTACCGTGAATTGTGAAATAATCTCTGATACCGTGAAGTTCCTATCAATAATATGCATCACTGGCTTTGTTAAATGAGAATAAATGTTTTCCAAGTTTTCTATTCATTGAAACCTTCAAAATAAATGTTACACGGTTACATCACTCGTGATTTGACGCTTTCATCTTCACGGGACTTTTTGGCCGGCATTACGGCATATGATATTTATCTAAAATAATTATACTTACGAAATTGATCTAAATATTATGCTACATAATTTTCTTATCATGATACTAATTACTTTTATTTTATATTTTTGATTTAAACCTGAAAACCTGTTTATTATCCAATTGCAAGAGCATTTTCAGAAATAATGATGCAAAACTTCATTGTTCTTATTATTACTAAAATATCAAACTCTCACTAAACATGTTAATAAGTGAGCGAAAAAGATTACATCCTCTCTGGTATGCTAAATTTCTTACATTGAAGGCAGAGAATATCTTCGATTGAATCTCAGCCGCAGTATAATTTTATATTGATAATTCTCTTGTCGCAGAAGCTCAATTTTCTTTCTAACCTTTTTAAATTTAACTAGTATGATTATTACTGCTACCGCTGTTACAGCCAGTTTGAAGCAATCGTAACTGCTGTTCGTCTCAAAACTAAGCTAACAACTAAATAACTTAAAATCTCAAGTATCTCGATAAACGATTAATAAAAAAAAAATTTATTATCATGATTCACTTGTGTCGTTGATTATCACGATCAAATCCTATATGAAGACAAGAAGGTTGGAAATGTAAAATAGTAACATTATTAATCTGTAGAGTTATAAGTCTAGTCCCAAGACCTATCTGATCGAACTCTGTCAACTCAAAGTCAACTTACAGGTCTATTTATATAAAATTGTTAATGAGTACTATATTTCGCTTTTTAATAATAATAAATGATACATTGGGATATGCTGTCAACTAATTAAATCAAAACTATATATGGTCCTATAACAAAAATTACTATTGAAGATTTTTTTATATTAAGCTATTTTATAGTATAATTTAAATTATTTTATAATAAATTTACTATTAACGAAGCTATATTTTCTTTCTTTAATAACTCTGGATCCTTCTTATCATTTCATTTCAGATTTTTAGAAAATACTCTAAATTTCCGTCTCTTTCACAAAATAGATTGCTTTTTTTTTTAAAAAAAATTCATTAATACTCCGAAATTAATAAAATTAAACCTTCTAAATAAATTAAAACATTTTTTACGTGAGTTTTGAAAAAAATGATGTATTTTATGTTTCTTAAAGTTGTCTTGTACCCATTCAACTTTACTGCGTTACTTAAATATTAATAGAGTACAAGTTATTAAATTTTAAAGATTTCGGTTAATTTATTAGAATTTTATTAGAAAAATGGCTCGCAAAGCCCGAAGTTAAAATGATCGTCAAAAAAATCTTTTTACTATAAGAACTATATATAGTTTTGTTAAACTATGTTGACCAATTATACATGTAATGAAAACTATATAATATAAGTAATGAAAGATAAAAAATTTTGAGTAATTTTAGTTATTGAGCTAGTTTTGTTCACATGACCATGATCAGCAGAATGAGCCAATAAAAAAATTTTTGACTAAAAAGTGGATTTCCCCCTTTTCTACTGACCACCTCCCATATATGTAATGAAAAGTAAACTAAATAACATACATATAATAAAAAGCAAATTATTCGATACATGTTATACAAGTGGTCCAAGTGTCACATGTGCCACATATACTACAAGTACTACATGTATGTTTAACATGTTATACATCGGTCACTTTTATGATATTCGCCGCAGTGTGAGATCATTTGTGACGCAGTACGTTTTGCGACTAACACTGTAAAAATAGCTTTACCTATTATCAACCCGAAAATATTTTATTCTGTCGGGATATTCTAAATTAGTTGCGATGGGTACGTTTTCAAAGAGATGCAATTTAAGAAAATCATTATTTATTATTATTCTTTAAATATTTCAAACTAAATTAAAAAAAAAAGAAATTATATATAAGAAAAACTTTTCTAAAAATTCAAAAAATTTTTCTTATTTGAAAAAAAGAACCCTTTTTCGTTAAAGCATATTTCGAAGCAGCATATGTATGTGCATACATAAGAACGTTTAATTTGCTCAGAAAGGTACGATTTGCTAACTGTGATTGAGAATGTTAATAATTATAATGTCGGAGGCGGAACTTTTTTTTTTTTACGGAAAATAAAAATTTCCCAATCTAGTGATTATTATGACGACGGAAGCAAAATTTAATTTTTTTTTTTTCACAAAATTCTTTTTTTATTGGTCAATATAGTATTTAATTTTTTTTGATTCATCAATAATAGTAATAGTAGTACAAAAGAAAAAAATTTTGCATAAAATATTGAGGTATATTTTTATTAAACGTGTAGATCACCGTCGTTGATCGCATAAACAGAATTTTTAAAAAACAGATAACTAAATTAAAGTATTAGTCGGTCACTTTTATAGCGCACCTTAGTTGCAATAGAATGTTGTCATTCGAAAGAATTATTATGCTAAAATTCTTTGATGATACAAAAAAAAAGATAAATTAAAAACTACTGTACGAACAAAAGAAAAAAAAAATCGGAATAAAATTAAAGAAAAGGATAAAGTAAGGAATAACATGAATTCTGTAGAAATATCCATCGTATATATATATATAATAAAATTTTAACAAGGACAATTTGGCCGGGTAACATGACAAATTGGCCGTAATTGATCTTAAAAGTCTAACTATGAACGCTAATTATCATTCTGTGGGCGGTATTATAACAGTTCAACTATTCGTTCATTAATAAAAAAAAAAAAAAAAAATGGATGGTTAGTACTATGGCCATCTTTGCGATACAGTATAAAAAGAAAAAAAAATTAAATTTTTTTTAATACAACCCACCAAATACAAGTAAATATAAAAGAACAAGCTTAAAATATAAATGCTCTCTAAAATTATCTAAATTTCATATTTTGTGATCAAACTAACCGATTATTATTATCTTGCTGAGAAGTGGGAGATTGATTATTATCTGTTACATTTCGTGGACGAATATTAACTAAACTTGTATTATTCGCACCATCAATTTGATTTTCATTTCCAGAAATCATATTAGGTGCCAAATAATCAATAAGGGATCGTCTCAAGTGAAATTCAAGGTTTTGTTTATGGTCATTAGTAAATTCCAATAGGCTTTGTTGATCATTTTGTCTCAATTCGATTCCAAAAACATTCAAGTTTAAATGCTGTACTATAGCCGAATGTGGAATCATTTCACAATCTATGTGATAAATTCTTTGATCATTAGGATGTTGAAAATAAAACTCGAAGTGATTATTTGAGTAAAGATAATTACAAGTCGAGTATAAATGAATATTTAATAATTGAGATGTAAGTTCATTTAAGGTAATTTCTTTACAATAAATAATGTAAATTTGAAAGTCGTTATTAGGCCTATAAAAGAAACCATTTTCTTGAGATACGGAGGTACTATTATGAGAAGCATTAGAAGCTGAAGCGTTTGATAAACCGCTGTCGTCTTGTGAAGTAGCCATTTGGAGCGTATTACTTTCCTGTTGGATACAGTATATATATTTATATAAAAATGTGAATCTATAATATATGTGTTAAAAGCAATACACATAAAGTATATAAGTAATAAATGGTAGTTTGCAAGTGTTTGCGTTATAATTGATACTTATAGATTTTTTTAATAAATAGATTTAAAAAGCAAAAATGCGAAGAAAAAAGGATAACTATTTATACGGAAATATTTTTTTTAAGACTAACTAGGAATTATCGATCGGCCTGAATATTTACCTTATCAATATATCAATACATAACATACGTCCTATGGAAATAAAAAATTAATTAATTTAATTTCAAATGGATCTACTATTGTCAGAATAATCATCCTTGCATGATCAGACCAGCAAAAGACGGGGTTCAGGAAATCACGTGATTTCAAGAAAATCAAAGTTTCTTTGTCAAGGAATTTATTAAAATCATTAGTTTTTCTTTAACAAGTTTATTTCATTCATTAAATATAATAATATAAAAATATAACAATTATAAATTATAAAATATTATATTTTTTAATATGCTATATATAACTTTTTTTTTTTATTTTCTGAAAAATTAGATCAATAAATATGTAATTATAATGAAATTTTAAAATCAAAATTTTGGCTGAACCACGGCTTTTGTGGACTGGTCCCCATATGATGTTCATATAAAAAGAAATTCGTATTGAAAGTAGAGATGATAAAGTTTCGGCAAAATCCGGAATTTTTGAGAAAATGTTTTAAATACCGGAACTTTATCCAAGATAACAACATAGACTATATATCCGGGAAATTATAGCGGATTTTCTTTCCGGATAATAGTTGCCTGGCAAAACCTATTTTAGCACATGGCAAAAGTCGAAACCCTATATTTCGACGTGATTTGTTAATAAGTCTTTAATAAAGTTTTGACTTGTGGGATTTTATTATGGTATGGTTTCGAGTTTCAACGGTTTTGACAATAAGATTTTATTAAAGTTTTGCCGAATGACCGAAACCCGAGCGTTTTGCGAACTATATTCCGGATCTGATTGAAATTAAGTATGGATACCTTCTTGACAACCAATTTAAAAAATTTAATACAAGATGAAAAACTCAAATAATTTCATTAAAACAGTAAGGTAGATCTTTCTTTTTCTTCAGCGATTATTATCAAATAAAACCATACGATGACAATTCACAAGATAACGTCATATAGGTGGTTGGAATAATTGTAGACTTTTAAAAGATGCTTCACATGTGATGAGTGTGTCAAGAAAAAATAAAAGTTAATCCTAGTATTTTTTTGAGAATCGGAATATTATTAGTTGTTAAGATGTAAGTTCTTTTATTCCTTCTTTCTTTTTTATGTAAATTCAAGTATTGAATAGGTTTCGCGAAGATCTTTTATAGAAGATTCTACTTTAAACAATTAGAGCTGTGGTTCTTTTGGAGAAAATGAATAAAAGAAAAAAGAAAATAAATTATTTTATATGGTCGATCGCTTAATGATTTATCCAGAATTCTGTGATTACGTAGCAATGATCAATTTCTCGAATCTTTTAAATCTTTACATTTAAATACTACAAGCTTCGTATCCTTGTTAATAAGATTATATTATTCATTTCATCACTGCTATCATCTATAGAGACGTAATCAAACTAATATATATAAACAAAAGGAGAACAAGGTTATTTAATTCGAAATTCAAAAAAAAAACCCACGTCAAGCATCATAAACTTGTGTAACAATTTTAATTTCAGATAAAAAAATGAAATTACAGTAACACCCAATTTACAAATAAGTTTGTCAAATTTTAGTTGCAAATGCACAATTGCTTTAACGATCTTTAAAAAAAAATATTTTTTTTTTTTCAATTATTTTTATTATATGAGTAAATTATCATAGGTAAGCATATAATTTCCATATTACAATTTATATTAACAAATAAAAGAAAAAAAATTTTTTTCGTAATATCTATAAAAATTGTCTGAATAAAATTAAGCATTTGAATATTATGCGTATAATTTTGATATTTACGAATTGTTTCGAACCGAATATCAATCGTCAAAACATGCCATGTCACGCTCTTTGACAATATGAGAGATTAATTAAAATAAATCTTTCTTTCTTTTTTTTTTTTTTGATCAAATAAAATATGAATAATTGTTTTGTAGCTTTTTCATGATAATCAAATTTCGACATTAAGGAATTTAGTAAATTAAATCCCCTGAAAAAAAATTTAAAAGCAAGAGTATAGACTGGTTTGATGGATGCGATTGTGCAGAATCCATGTCCAAACATGTGAAGGGTAAAACTATCTTTTGAATTTAAATTCAAAATTTATGATGTAAAGTGAAAGTTGTGAATCGTCCAAATCTTCAATATAAATTTCAGGCATAATTTGTTACGTGAGGAAAGTAAGAAGACTTCCAGGCAAAAAACGGGGTAGGTAAACTATTCGTTTGATCATATATATTTATTTTTGAACATAATTGCGACATTTTCATAATTTGAATGAAATCTAATCAATCACGTGATAGATTATCGCACCTTTTGATTACAATAAAAAGGTATTGTGGATTTGAGGGCGATTTAAAATCATTTGAATTAAACGTGACGTGTGTTTTTTTCTTTGCCGAAGGGAAGTCTTAATTTTTTTCTGAGGCCTTCAAGAGGGCTTGTTTATATAAGAAAGTTCGAAGAAAAAAAAAAGCCCCTTATTATTGATCTGCAAGTTTCTTTAAACAGTAGAGTTACAATGAAGCCATTGAATTAATACCCTTTTTAGAATAAGAACAAGCTGTCAATGAAGTGTGAACAGGGAAACTTAACAAATATGTTAAACATAGAATGAAAAACGTGAAAAAAGGTATTTGTAAAAATTGACTACAAGGCAAAAATTTACTACGGAACACGAAATGGCGCAAACTCTGATTAAAGAATAAGTTTTGCATAGTAAAAACAAACTCCGAAGAAATTGACGTAATTTCATACCTGAAAGGAAAACAAGGATAGTCTAGGCGATGTCGATTTCATTGAAAATAAACGAAATACTAAATTAGGAAAGTTTAAAAGAAAAATCAAACAAAGTGAAAGAAATAAACATTACGTAAAATTTATAAATAAATTGTTCTTATTTGACAAAACGGTATATTTACTAAGAAAAAAACGGTATCATTACAATTGTATAACCGTTAAAAAAAATTAGAAATGCACTTTTTAATTAATGTAAATAATATTTCCTTTGAAAAAAATTTGTTTCTTATGAACTTTTTGATATTTTATTTAAATCAATTTAAATAAATCCTAACGTGGTTGCTGGATACAAATCCGGTGCGCATTTTTTATGACCGAGCAAAGTGGAAAAAAAACTTTTTTCACGTTATATATGATCTCACGTGAAGGTACAAAATTTTTAATTAACGCGCAGTTTTATTGTGCAGATATTGTTTGCCAAAAGAGGCTGGTCTATATTACATAAAGTTACATAAAGAAAGGTTTGGGGTAACTGAAATAACAATAAGGCTTTTTTATAAATTTCTTATCATATACAAGTCAGATGCAAAAATTAAAAGTCGCACAAATCAGCCATTTTAAATCCAAATTTTGTTCAACTTAAATACAATCAATTGAATTGACGTTTAATTCTAAGAAAAAAAACTTTTTAATCTAGGGGCGAAATGAAATATATTATAACTTGCTCAGTAAATTATTCATCTTTAGAACATGCAAATTTTATTTTATTTTAATTTTTTTTTTAAAAAAAAGACTGGTTTTACAATTTCTGTACAATTCAATTCTTATAAAATTTTCTGTTTCAATCTTTAAAAATGTCCGTAAGGTCGTTATTGTACAGTATATTTTAAATTATTCGTCAAAATACTATTTAAATGCTAAAACATATTGCTTCCGACCGACATGAAACAAATATTTGTTCTCGTAAGTATGCACAAAATTTTAGGTAACGAATAATGAACCTTTATCTATAAAGCATTCTTCTAAAACGGTTATGGTTTGTCAACTATATAAAAATGGGAAAGATTTTTATAATGATTATTTTATAGACCTTCATGCACGAGTATCATGAATTGCAATAGTTTATTTTTATTTTAACGAAATCTTTTGGACGAAGACACCTGAAACATTTCTTTCAGTAATTTGTATATATTTATCTTTAATCGGTGGGCTACTGTTTATTTGTTTTTATATAGTTATCTATATATATTTTAATATTTTATAAGACCCTTAAAGAAAATTGTAAAGTATAATTAAGTAGCACATAGCATATTTAGCCAATTTTGAAATTTTCGAATAATACGCGTAACGATTACGGATTAAGATTCTCGTGAACTTTTTTTTTTGAAAATCAAGCGTCTGTTCCTGATAAATCCTAAAAAGGAAATTTTCCTGCTAATTTAATGTTTAAGGAATAAATGTCTTTTATATAATACATTAATCGAACAATGCTAAAACCTAAATTAAATTCTTATTTGTTTTTGCACGTATAAAAAACATTTAATTGTCTTGGGTTCATTTACATTTATTTGTTTTTATACTTTATTTCACCAGGATTTCAAAAACATACTTGCTATTAAGCTGGTTACACCAAATAAAACTGGACTCTTGTTGATTTATTTAAAAAATATATCTTATTTAATGTTTAATAAGCTTCTTGTTTTTTGACTAACATTTTTTTAAATAATAATCTGTACACATCATCTCTTGTTTAAAAAGCACTAAGACACCTAACTTCTCGATGGAGTTTGTGAAAGACTATGTTATGGTGGAAGTTGATTTTTGCCTTCAAAAAGTTCTTTGGAAAATGCCAATATTCTCGCAAAACAGGGAATATACAGTAGCAAACCTGTACAGTAAGTATGTATAATATGGTTTTTTTTCATATATGTATAGTAATAGAAACCGTACAAGTATGGACAAATTGTTACGAATAAACCATTCATGTATAGTTTTTAAAGCATACATACCATACATACATTCAAAAAAGAAACCGTACAATTGCTAACCGTACTGTTCAGGTTTGTGTATTACTCCACAAAACAAGGTTAAATGTCAAATTAGATCACCTGATCATCCGGTAGAATTTTTTTTTAAAAAGAAAAAGAAAAAGAAAACTACGCCATAAATATCTCTACCTCTCCTAAAGATTTTCGATATTTTTATATAATTATATCCTAAACAAATAAATGAAATCAATATTATTACTTAATCAATATTTATTTTTGCAATAAATATAAAGACGAATGTTTGGGGTGATACCATGAATTTATAAAATTATTAATTCAATTAAATAAAGTGACTCAGTCTGCGACTAATTGAGTCGATAACATTTTTAATTATAAAAAAGTTTGGTTGATTTTTGTAGACTCGCTGAATGAGATTAAGAACGTAGAAGGGAAACTGATACTTCACAACCACCTCTTCCTTTACCTCTTCTTACAGTAATATTATCAACGTTTGCGATTGTTACTACTCTTTATGGTCAATTATGTCGACGATAAAATAGACGAATTATTTATTTGCAAAAATTCAAGGCTAAAATTAATAAATTTGACCGAAATTTTTGTAATACTAAAAATCTGAATTCCGGTCAAATCATAATTGTTTACCAGAATTAAATACTAACCGGAAAAAAAATGATTGCCTTAACCGGTTCATATGGTAGATAATGCATTAAATCTTTTAATTTTATGCACATCTTATTTTAACGAGCGTGATTAAATTAAGATTTTCGTGTTCGCACATTATTTACCATAATTATGATACTAATAATTTCACCACAGAAAATCATATACATAAATAACATAAAAGTGTGTTTAAAGTTACTTCCAAATATGTAAACTGAAAACTTTTAAATAGGTAGAAGATTTCCAAAATCTTTATCATTATTTGTTCATAACCCGAAATTAAAGATCACCTGATCATCCCGCCCGATTCTTTTATTGGCAAAAAAAGAAGACATTCTTATTAAACAAAATAAGACATATTGGGAAAAAGAGAAAACTTTATACATATACATAAAAAAAATTTAAATTGTAATTACAGTAAAGAAATTTTAATGATATATATATATGTAATGAAGAATCAAAATGAGAAAATTGAGAAGCCTTCCTTTATATTCTTATTGCATATGGATCTTATTTGTATGCGGAATAACTTATTTACGGTAGAAAATCAATCTTTTTTTTTGTTGATCCAATTGACAAACATTAATTTCCGATGGATCGTGGATAAACTATTTCACGTTTTAATATAAAATTTCTATGTAAGAAAACGATCGTTAATTTAATGATTAAATAAAGTAAAAAAACGAATTATAAAAAAAATATGAATAATAGATAATAAAATATATAGTGATAAGCTATTAGAGTAACTAAACGAAAAAGTAAATATTTTGGCATTATTTGATAATGTGAAAAGTATGAATTGAGTCTATAAAGAATTTCTCTCAAAATTGCGTGTACATTTTAGATTTCGATTATAAACGACAGAATAATATTATTTTATGCTTTGAATGGTATCTATGGCATTTGACATTATGTAATATTAGAAATAAGGCTGTTGTTATCAATATTAAAAGAATGTTTACGTTTCTATAGATTTTAAAAGAATACAAAAAAAAAATTTTTTTTCGAATTAGAAGAGTAACAATTCCTAAGTATATGAAAAGTATGATTTGACCGAACGACATTAGAAGATAAACTGCGGAATATAATAATATAAATTAATATTAACACTCCACCGAATGAAAATATAACGAAATAAACGGATTCTCATGTGTATTAACCTTCTTACTTGTATCATTTAGCTATTATTACCGAAAGAAGGTTTAGCAGAAAGCATACCCGTTAAAAAATTGATCTAAAAATTGATTATTATTATTTATAATTTGCTGTGGAAGGTTTGCTATTCGATTTAACGTGTCTTGGTTGTTGAATTGAACGCGACTCTGAAGATTTCTTCGACATATTACTCTATTTATTCTTGTAATTTGTCTTCGTTGATTTTGTCTTCTTTGATACATTTCGTATATTATTAGTTATAAGGTAAAAAAAATTTCATGTACAGGAGAAAATATCCTTTAACGTATTATTTATATGAAATAAAATTCATATTTTGATGTAAATGTCTTATGTAACAACTTATTACTAATTATAATAATAATTTAATCTACAGGTAAGCTAAATTCAAAATTAAGGATTCCTTATAAAGAATTTATATAGAGATTACATTTAAAAAAAAGATTGAATTTATAATCATAATAAGATTATGTCGTTGTTTAAGTTAATTACCAATTACATGCTTAGATAAATAGTTAAAAGTGAACTAATTGGGTTAACAAAAAATTTCGTGGAATAAACGCGAATGAATTTTATTTAGTTAAATCTCACATCTTAAATTTTACTCGTTAATATTATGAGAAAAATTCTTTTTCCCCAAAATGATTATTATTAAATATATTTGATCATTTCGAATGAAAATATATTATATTAGTAAGCGTCATATCTCTAATAAATAATGAAATTGTTAAAAGGATTGAATTTTTATTTTATTAAATACTAATCAAATATACAGTTTAACAGAAATCATAATTTATAATATATAATAAGATTTATAATGTGTTGTTAATAATTTTTGGAAAACAAATGTTGATTTTATTTGTCAGTGTTAGTAAAATGGAAGTATTTTATTAATAATAAAAACGAGAGAAACTTGGCGTTTAATTCGTTTAATTAATATTGTGCTACAGCAACATTTTCAAATTACACTGAGCAAGTCTCCGAAAATTTTCAGCGGATAAATTTGTAAGAAATATATATATATACTGTATATATATATATATATCAAGACTGCTCAATATCTTTATAAACATGATAATTCTTAAATGTAAATTTTACAAACTTGATATTCATTATTTACCAATAAATTTTGAGATGCTGCATAAAACTCAACGTAATCACGCATGAAATTTACGGATAAATTTACTTAGTTAGAATTATGAAATCAATGTAACCACGCATGAAATTTACGGATATTTCTTAGAATTATGATTAAGTATTATTATTTATTTTTTTTAAAAAAAAAAAATATTATCAAAGGTTGTTCGAATATTGAGTCATCAATAGTGTATATTTATATTTTAATCCGACTTCCTCAAATGTGTTAAATAATAACGTAACTTCACTTCGGCTTTGACTCTATTTTTGAATTACTAGATTCATATAACGTTAATCCGTAGAAAGGAGAATGTAACATTTTTCTTTTTAATAACAATTATTATTCATTGAGCCAATAAAAACATTTCGATCACTCCTCCCTTTATTAATACCTATATTAAGTTATTGCATCGTATGCATCTAAAGAACCTAAGAAAAAGAACCTAAGAAAAGGGAAAACGAATTCAAGGAAATTATCACTCTTATTGCATTGTGTGACTTGTACAAATATTAATCAATGAAGTACAAAAGGATATATCTGAATCTAAACAATAAATGAAATTCTCGGGTAAGACAAAACAAGAAAAGCAGGTTAGTACAAGAATCTGAAAGAGTAAAATTTGAAAGAGTCAGATTATGAACTTATAGAATAAATTTTAGATCGAATGATCGAATCTTTCTTAAACCATGAAATCATTTCCATTTCAGTATGAGAAAATAAAATAAAATTTCTTAATGTTATAAATATATCTTGTTCTTGGTGAGATGCTTCACACATATATATACATATATCATTCTACAGTAAATTAACAGTAGTCGGTTATTAAATATCATTTGACAATCACATTGACTTTATAACCGACATGGAGATATCTGTTATCTAATTAATATAGGGGAGAAAAATGCCTTATTCACATCGGCAATAAAATTTGTAAACAAGGCGTCTTGCACTATTTTTGTTTATGATTGTCGTGAATTTTATACGCTTCTCATCCCTTGGTCCTACCGCAGTAAAAACCTGTCCAGTGATTATCTAGAGTCAATGACGAGTTAGTGCAACTTGTACACGATTAACATTCCGAGCTCCGATATTCATTTTATTATGGTTACGGAAGGTGATAAACCGAGTCACTGTACATCAAATGGGGTTTACGTTCAGAAATAGGACATTGGAGTTTGCGAGCGATATTGAGAATTGAATATCATTTGTAGGGCTATGTAGATCAAGTGAATGAATTAAATGCTAGCTTGGCATTTTCGGGTCATCTTTTAAATTTTAACCATATAAGAATTTATCACGTGACTTTACAATATATATTAATACTGTTGTTCGTTTATGTATTTATACGAAATGTAAATTTTTTCTATTAATAAGCAATTGAATATTTATGATGTAAATGTCGTTATTCACTAAAATTAATTAATCAGCTCTACATTTTATTTTATTAACTCAAATCAATGCTAATCACTATAGGAGATTACCTATTAAAAATCGAGTTACGAGCATAGTAAATCATAATAGCAAACTTTCCAAATGCTAATTAATTAAACTACGTCAAATAAAAATCGGAAAAATGAATAAATGAATAACATTAAAACAACTAAATTAACGAAGTTAAAGCATAAATTATAGTCTTTTAAAAATTACGAAAGCGATAATATCGCAAGGAAAAAAAGGAATTAAGGTTTATGTATAAAAAAAAAAGAAGAGAAACTGTGCTAAAGAACTTAAAAACTTAAATTCAAAGAGAAACTAGCATATATATTTATTAAAATTTTAATTAGAACGACTTGGCATCCTAACAATATGGTATCCTAACGATATGATATCCTAAAAAATGATGGTATCCTAACAAATTGATCTTCAAAGGCTAACCCAAATTATCAAAGGCGATACGAGTATTTCTTTGTTTACTTCCATTTGAGTATTCACAATACGGAAAATGCTCACCTTCCGATTATAATTAATGAACCGAAAATGCTAATGTGCGCTATGCAAATGTAATGTCACTCTGTTCCACCAATCGATGGAATGAATGAATTTCATTTTTTGATACCCAGTTTATACAAATATTCAGAGTAATAGTATATCGTCATATTAATTAAATAGATATTATGTCAGTGACTGATATGATGAAAACAGATGGATTAGCTGAAACCCCTTTTACACCGTCAAGTCACCAATTATTTGCTTTAAATAACGTACGATACGTCCTTTAACAAATAGAAATTCGACATTTTTAACATCTACATTTTGAATTAGTTTTAATTAATATTGACTAAAGGATTTGAAAATCTAATATAAAAAAGAAAACTCGAGTAATAAATTATCCGGTCCGGTCAACAAAATGAATCATCTGTCCTGAGAATCGATATAAATTACCGAAATCGATCCCGATTATCAATATTTATTGACCGTGTACCATTTACCTGTAATAATCCGTTAATTTTACAATTATACATGCGTTATATCGTTATTTGTTATTATACATTACTAACGAAATGATTACAGCATATTCGTTTCTAAATATAAATACATGAAAAACTTTCATTGATTATTGTCTACCTTTAAAAAAAAAAATTAAAAAAAATTTCCAATAATAATAAAAATATATAAATGTCTTCGAACAGCCTTTTAAACATCACCACGCTCACTAATAGTGGAATGCGACCTTCAGTACAAGTACAGCGTCGTCGACGTCGAAGACGACAAGGTAGAATATCTCAGAGACGCGATCAACTCATCAATATTCAAAGCACGTTAGATCTAATCGCCAACCTTCCAACACAAAATACTAATGATCTATTAATATATGAATTTTTTAATGGATCATTGTCTTTCTAAACAAGCTCCTTTGAAAGAGAAAATATTTGAAGATATGAAGTCACGGTATCATACATATATTTCACATCTATCGGCGAAATAAAAATTTCAGAGCACTATTATGATATTATGTAATTTTTAAGATAGTTCTACGAATCAATTTCCATTAATATACTTCTTAATATATGCATTTAAGATTAGTATCTTGTAAGTTATTACTCTATATCAACAAAGTGACCGGGATAAAGTTTGAGTTGATATTTAAGGCAAAGTTAGCTTCGATTAAGAAATAATTCTCATTTGTATTCCATTGAATAAGTTAGTTTATTATGTGAGAATGCCGATCATTCCACCATAAAAGGTAATACTCTCGTTTTGTTGACCACGACCTTTCTTCCACAAATAATAAATGCTTTGTTATCTACATTAAAAGAAATAAATAAGCGTCACTGAAATAAATATTATCATTTGCCGCAAATAATGGCCATTCAAATGTCACATTATTTTCATTATTATAAATATTATCATGAATATCACATTAAATGGTAATTCACGTTATTACTTGATTCATTCGGAAAATCTAACGTAAATTAGTATAATTATTGATCGTACATTCTTTTCTTTTCGCCATAATTTAAATTGTTTGTTTTACATAATCTTTATAATAATTCGAATTATCTACGGCTAAATAAAATAAAAATGTTTTTCCTTAAAAAAATCCAAATAAAAAACCAAAAAAAGCAATTTAAGCGTATTTATACTTTAGGAATCAAATCAAAGAAGGTGGAACACTAGAAGACAGTAAAAATTATCACAAAAACAATCCAGCAAACCTCCTACACTAATTTATATGAACTTTTTCATGGGTCTTCGTTTATTTAAAAAAAGTTTGCAAATAAATTGACACTTGAACAAAAAAAAAATATTCTTAATAACTTTATTTAATCTTCGTTTAGGAGACATTCTTTCGTTGTCAAGACATTAATTCAATATTATTGTTATTAAATAAAACAACAGAATAATTGTTGGCATTTTGTGTGACTTCAAATCTGTATTGTGTAAAAACTAAAGATTAAAAAATCCAATTAAAGAAACAAAAATTAATTAAAGTGTTTTTGTAGGACATGCATATCAAAAAGGAATGCACTTTATTAATAAACGTTACATAGTTTGTTTCAATTCGACCAAATTTTACACGAATTAGGAGAAAATTACGCCCTTGTTGACGAATTGCTGATCTTTTAAACCAAAAGTGTAGAATAAAAATGAAAATCCATTGATTGTATCTTTTTTTTTGGTCTCTCTTTTGCGAAATTTTTTATTATCGTCATGTCTTATAATGTTGATAAAAAGTCAAGCGAATGCATTAATTGGATTGAAAAATCTATCAAAGAGGAGCACATTAATTTGTTTCATCATGACAAATTTCGTAATATTAAGAAAATTGGCTCCGGAGCATTTGGAATGGTATATAGTGCAAATTATAAAAATAATAAAGAACAACTTTTAGCATTGAAGTCATTTTTCAATCTCAACGACGTTACTGAGAAAGAAATTGTTCGTGAGGTGGTTACATATTCAAGTTTTGCTCTTTGAATTTGCATTATTACTTTATTATTAATTAATTTAAACTTAAATTAAATTAGCTTAAACTTCAACGCGGAGTACATTTTCATGATAATATCATTCGTTTCCATGGTGTAACAAAACCAGAAGGTGGATCAAGTACGAATTCATTATTTTATTTATTTTATTAAGTTACACGTCATATAAAATTGCGATTTAATGAGATCAATTATCTCTTTTATAATTGGAAAATCAAAATGATCGATTGAATAGCGTATTGGTTAGTAATGGAATATGCTAATGATGGTACTCTACAAAACTATTTGAAGAAAAATTTCGATCGGCTTACTTGGGAAGATAAATACGCATTGGCAAATCAATTGGCCGGCGCTGTCTTATGTCTACACGAAGAGGGAATTGTGCATCGTGACTTGGTAATTCTCTTGCTTTGGTATATGATATTACTTGTTCGATATAATATTTGTAATTAATTGTTCTATTTGATATTTTTGGGTAGCACTCCAGTAATATACTAGTTCATTCAAATCAAATCAAGCTGTCCGACTTTGGATTATCAAAAAGGATCGAAGCATCTTTCAACGTTCAATCAAAAGTATTTGGTGTGATTCCTTATATTGATCCAAAAAAGTTCAAACCACAAAACTATACGTTAGATAAAAGGAGTGACGTTTATAGTGTTGGTGTGTTGCTTTGGGAGATATCAAGCGGGCATCCCCCATTTTATTCAGAGGGTAATCAATATGAAATCGGTTTGGCTCTGGAAATTCTAGGAGGTCTTAGAGAAAAAACTGTTCCTGATACTCCTGTTGATTACGCTAAACTTTATATTGGTAAAAATATGTTTACAATTTTATTTTATATGGTATGGTAGAAGATTTCGAATTTTTTTAATAGTTCGTTCATATTCATATGTTTTACTTTTTTCTTTTTTTTAGAATGCTGGGATAGTGAACCAGAAAAACGACCTTTTATGAATGAAGTCGTTGACAGGTTAAGAATGACCTCACAACCGAATCAAGAAATAATTGACCAATCATCATCGACAAATGAGCATATATCGATTGACGGTCGGTCACAAGGAGATTTGAGTAAATTGATGAAGGAATTTGATGAAATGAATACCGTCAATTTAGCTAAATATGATAACGAAGAAATGACATCTAAAAGAATTTCATCTGATAACGAGGAAATATCATCTAAAAGGGACGAATTAATTTCATCTGATAACAAGGAATTATCGTCTAAAAAGGATTTAAGTGAGAAAATTGAGGACATTGTAAAATTTATTTCAAAGGAACTAAATGAGGGGAAAATTTTTACAATGGATGAAAAGCCAGTCCTTACTTTTCTAGACAATAAAAGTTTTGATAAACACGAGATTTATAATTGGATTTCAAATAATCAAAATGATTCAAATAATCTTTTTCTATTCGGATATTTTAATTTCTTTGGAATCATATCAAATAAAGATTATGAAAAGGCATTTGGTTCCTTTTTTAAAGCTTCAGATCAAAATCATACGCTAGCACAATGTTATGTTGGAAAATGTTATGAAAGAGGGTACGGGGTTGCAAAAGACAAAAAGTTGGCCTTCGATAATTATAAAAAAATTGCAGAAAAGAATTTTACAACGGGACAAATAAATATTGGATATTGTTATAAAAATGGAATAGGCGTTAATAAGAATTTGAAAGATGCTTTTCGTTGGTATAAAATGGCTGCAGATAATGGAAATATACATGCTATATATAATCTTGGTAATTCTTATAAAAATGGAATAGGCGTTGAAAAAAATCATGAAAAAGCTTTTGAGTTTTTAAAAATATCCGCTGAACAAGGAAACCATTTCGCTCAAGATGAACTTGCCATTCTATATGAAAATGGAGTTGGAATTGACAAAGATATAGACCAAGCAATTTATTGGTATGAAAAATCTGCTGAACAAGACAATCCAGACGCGAAAAATAAATTGAAAAAACTTTTAAAAACTAGGGCTGATTGTTGTAGAATCAATTAAAATTATTTATTAAATCATTACTATCATATATTTTTATTTTAGCCCATATTATATTTAGTCTTTATGTTACATAATCATAGTCATTTCAATTTCAATAAATTCAACTTCACGTATAATGTATTTATATAAAACACTTTTAAAGTACTTTTATAGATTTGATATTACCAATTATTATTTTTTGCGAAAATAAAAACATACGCTTATTATAATTTTTATTATTTATGCGCCATTAACGTGTTTTCTTGTATAAAATCTTTATTTGGTCATCATTCTGCCTAACTAATGCTTCTTATAGAATTATGAGATATTGTAATGGACTGAAATAGAAGAATTGCATTTTTTTTTTTTAAAGAATAGTTCGTTATAGTTTCTCAAGATTAGTTTTTGTCTCTGTCGGATTAAGAAAGTCAACTTAGATAGGTTCGAAATCTTTAGAAATCTGCAGATGTATTGTTATATGATATGCGACGATAACATTTCAACTTTCATTTTTTTATAGATAAAAAATTTTATAAAATTACATTCAAATTTTTTTAAAGGAAAAGAAATTAACTTAAAGTAAGAAATTTACTTTAAAATAATATAAAATACTTGCAGCAATTTCCAGTGACGCAGCTGTAGTACAAAAAGGTATCAGAGTTTTTTAATGTCTTAACCAATCCTTGGTGTTGATTCTTAAATGTTTTCTATTAGATAATATGTCAATGTGCAAACAAAATTGTGACAAATGCTTTCCATTTTATAATAAAGAACAATTGGTAAAAAAAATTGAACGTAAATAATACGGAACCTTTGTAATAGAAAGGGCGGGAAAAATTAATTTTACTTTTATATGCCAAATATGACTTTTAGGTCAAAATATGTTCAGATTTAGCATTGACTCATTTTTATATTTTTCAGCTATTTCTCCCTTTTCTATTGCAAAGTCCCATAAGAGAAGTTTGCTAGGAAAATCAGGCTCTGGGCATTTTAGTTTTTGATGTTATTAGATCAAAAAGTAATAAGGTCTTAATTTAGTCCAAAAAATTCCCAGAGTCTGATTTTCCTAGCAAACTTCCCATATATTATTAATGATTCGTTTTAATAAAATTTTGTATCCAAATTTTTTTTTTTTTTTGCT